ACTGTTCCGGAGTTGGATCTACGACTGCGTGCGCTGGAGGCAAAGCAAAGGTGTAATGCTGCAAAATGGCGATCCTTCTTGTAAAATTCTCACTTATTAAATTTAACTTTTGTAAAAAAAATTAAATTTAACGAAAGCAAGTAACTTCACTCCTGGGAATAAATACTGAACAATAGAACATTTGTAAAAGGAATAGGCTTTATACCTGTAAAACTAATGCTTTCAAACATTTCAGCGATAGATAATGAAGAAGCGCTTGAGAGTAGGCAAGAACCAGCGTCGAGAAAACAATTCGAACGGAAAATACGGCCGGAAATATGGTCCATCCATACATTGGCAGTCCTGAAAATGTGCAAAAATTCCCGACGGGATTCTCTAATTCACGATTTTCCGCCTTTTTCAAACAACCACTTACAAAATCAAGAAAAATCATGCAAATACAAAAATGAAAAGTAGGAAAAATTCAAAAAATTTCAGTCAAATATTCCAAACAAACCTATCAGGAATGTAAAAACAACAGTCCATTTTCCAACCACCAGAAGACTCTTCGACGCGGCTTCGTTGCCCAAACGTAGCGCTGATTGCAGCTGATGGACGGCACCAAACTGAAAAATAAAACTATGAACTCAAATATCTTGAATTTCCACACTGAACCTTTTCTTTTCATCAGAAATTTCACACTGACTTCACTCACATTCGTTCAAAATTCACAGCGTAATACAAAATATGATCAAATGTCCCTAGGAAAAAATTATTAATCGTAAGTTTCTAACCTCGAAGGCAGGAATCTGAAGGCGATAATCACATTCGAAAACGTTCATGAAGGTAGCCACTAACACCGGTACGTGTACGATAAATGATGGAGCACTGAAATTTTCTTGATTAAATCTTATTACACCTCCAACAAGGGCACTTCAGTTCACAGTGAGCACTGAACCTTCCCTAATGAATCAATCGCTCGCAAACCCCGCAAACTCCAGGCAATTTTCACTTCTATGCACATTACCTCTTTCAAT